ACGATCAAATAAACAACACTTGTCTTTAATCGAAAAATGAAATCCTTCCAAATCCAAACAAGGAATAGAAATAATATTTCTGCTTATAGCAGGTACATAGTAGCAATTATTAAGTTCTAAAACCATGCCCGAAGGCAAAGACAAATGAAATGTTCCCACAGCTAATGCAGCAACTCTTGCTCCATTTCCCACGCGCANGTCCACTTGTCCTTTCTCCAAAGTTCTACTATTTNTTAGGCCCTGCATATTCGTACAAATATGAGCACCACAACCGGTATCCAATACCCAAGAAGTAGAACCAGAGGTAGTAACATTTATTTCTATAACATAAATACCTTTAGAAGAAGTTTCGAAGGTCTTCTTCTGTTTCAGATCTTCCAAGTATTTCTTGCAGTTTCTCTTCCAATGCCCANAGCCATTACAATAATGGCACTTATCTTCACCAGAAGGACCGGGCTTGAACTGAGGAGCNGGGTCAGGCTTGCCCGGATTCTTAACCCAGCTTGCCTTACCTTTTCCTTTNTTATTANCAGGTTTCTTAAACTTTTTACCCCCTTGTACCATGAGTACATGCGGGGTGTCCTTCTTGATGTTTGGCTCAACTATCTTGAGCATTCCATGCAGCTCAGTCAAAGTCTTTGTCAAGTTGTTCATGTTGTAGTTCATAACAAACTGATCATAACTTGATGGCAATGACTGCAGGATAATGTCAGTAGCCAACTCTTGGCTAATAGGAGNATCCAGTTTAGCCAGNTTATCAATATAACCCATCATCTTAATGACATGTGGGCTAACTGGACTTCCTTTAGGNAGCTTGCACTCAATGAGAGCCTTAACGGTCTGGTATCTCTCAGTTCGTGCCTGCTCCTGAAACATCCCTTTCAGGCTAGTGATCATGTCAATTGGCGAATCCACGTTCTCATATTGNTTTTGCAAGTCTGAGTTCATGGTAGCCAACATAAGACAACACACATCAACCCTATCAGCGACATGCTTATCATAAGCAGTCCTCTCTGCATGTTGAGCATTGTGTCTTAGGTTTTTCAGGTGGAAGATTCTTTTCTAGGACATAGTCCTTCTTCTCCTGTTTGAGAACTATTCTCAGATTTCGATACCATTCGAGGAAGTTCGATCCACTCAGCTTGTCCTTCTCAAGGACGGAGCGCAATGAAAATGAACTGTGGGGCGTTGACATAGCTGTCGGAAAGAAGAGTAAAGATCAATATGATGTTCATTAATTTGAGAAGTCTCAACATTTAAGAAAACTCACATTATATTCAAAACATTAGTATCCTCAAAATGAATATAATAATCCAAGATCCATATTTTACTAGAATTCAAGTGAGCTTTGGCTCATCGCCCGAATATCTAGCTACTTAGGTAAGCAACACACTTTGCTAATTATATCCAATATAATTCTTGGTTGTTGAATGACATCTTATGTCAATCCAACATATGCCTCTAAGCCCAAAACCATTCTGATAGCCTAGTCAAGTAAACCAATCTCACTACATATGGTAACCATTACCATCTGCCTCACTTATGTAGAAGTGGACACCCTGCTTGACAGGCCCATCACACAACGAAATAAGTCTTGACAGTTGACAGAGATTGGATAGGCATCAATAATACTTGAAATTAAATTGAGGATTAAATTTTAAACC